ACTTGGTGTTAATAAGTATATGAAGTGTTACTGAAAGGAGGAAAGGAAGTTAAAATAACAGGTGAGTAAAAGTTTGTGATCCTTTATGATCTGGCAGTCTTATCCCTGCATAGGCTCACTAGAAGAACGTATACACGTCTGTCCATAAGGGATCTATGTCTTGGATGTCATTTATAGGATATAGAGTTGGAGCTGATTAAAAGGATGGATGAATAAAATGCTGTTTCATCCTAAAGAGTACTATGTGAGTCAGTCCCAGAAGTCTTAAAAGTTGGTTGAAAACACAAAACACCTAGTTTATAGTAGAATACTATTTGTCTAAATCTCTCTCACACACAGCCCTTCTGGATTTTTCAGTTATACTAACACAGCTATAGTGGATACCTAGGGTGGAGGTTGTCATGGAAGTGGAATCAATCAGGGATACAGGAGAAATCAAATGATGAGGGCCTTGCATAGACTTTTGACAGTGCGTCACGAACCGGAGATTTGGATTAGCACTACCTGAGATGGGTAAGGAAAAATAACAGTAAGGAGGTCATCATTGAGTCTGATGGGTGGGTGATTTTTGTGCAGCAGTGGTTAAGTCAGAAACCAGATGTAAAAGAAGTGAGTAGAAGGAGTGTTTTGAAAACATACGCATTGATGGGGAGCAGGAAAAGGGGGGCACTAAGCTAAATGGTCATTTGGAGACAAGGAAGGGTTTTGTTTATTGTTGACAGGGTTTTCTTAGAGCAAATTCAGTGTATATGCTCATGGGAATGAGCAATGGGCAGGAAGAAACTGATGCAAGAAAATGGATAATTCTAGGAATTTTAAGTCCTCAAGGGAAGAGGGATCCAGGACAGAAATCAGAGAGTTTGCCTTAGACTTCTGTAATGAAAGGGGACAGGACATGGAAATGAATGTCAGTTGCTTTGTCTGTTTTGGGGTTTGTGTTTGGCTGTCTTATGTAAGGCAAGGACAGTCTTGGTTATTGGGAGCCAGTGCTGCAGGAACTTCTTTGCCCCAGTGAAACAGCTGTTGTTTTAATAATGTAATTTTTTGGCCAGGCACAGTGGCTCACGCCTGTAATCCCAACACAGGAAGGCCAGGGCAGGCGGATCATCACTTGAGGTCAGGAGTTTGAGACCAGCCTGGCCAACTTTGGTGAAACCCTGTCTCTACTAAAAATACAAAAATTAGCCGGGCATGGTGGTAGGCACCTGTAATCCCAACTACTCAGGAGGCTGAGGCAGGAGAATTGCTTGAACCTGGGAGGTGGAGGTTGCAGTGAGCCAAGATCGTGCCACTATATTTCAGCCTGGGCAACAGAGCAAGACCCTGTCTTAAAAAATACAAAATAATAAAAATAATGATAATAATTTTTTAAAGATAATTTTCTCAGGATCACACACAAAACCTCATTATAACCAAACAGTGTATTTAGTCTATGTGGAAATATTTTTATCAAAACATAGTATTTATTTGATCTGAAAAATGTTAAATTACTAAATTATTAGGAACAGCCAGTTTTGTAGAATAATCTGTTCTTCTTAGTTACTGGGGAAAAAGAGAACGCAGACCTCCTTTGAAGATGAGGCTTGACTATCTGTCTTTCCTGTCTGGAGTGGGAAGAACAGGGACATAGTTTGCTTCTTTGAAGTAGTAGTGCTTTGTGAGATTGTTACAACATTACCACTGACCTTTAATACTTGGAAAGCTAGCCAGACTTGGTGGCTCACATCTGTAATCCCAGCACTTTGGGAGGCCAGGGTGGGTGGATTACCTGAGGTCAAGAGTTTGAGACCAGTGGGCCAACATGGTGAAACCCTGTCTCTACTAAAAATACAGAATTTGGGTCAGGTGTGGTGGCTCATTCCTATAATCCCAGCACTTTGGGAGGCCAAGGCAGGTGGATCACCTGAGGTCGGGAGTTCAAGACCAGCCTGAACAACATGGAGAAACCCTGTCTCTACTAAAAATACAAAATTAGCCGGGCGTGGTGGTGGGTGCCCGTAATCCCAGCTACTCAGGAGGTTGAGGCAGGAGAATCACTTGAACCCGGGAGGTGGAGGTTGTGGTTAGTGGAGATTGCGCCATTGCACCCCCACCTGGGCAACAAGAGCGAAACTCCGTCTCCAAAAAATAAAAAAAAAGTGAGCCGGTCATGGTGGCGCATGCCTGTAGTCCCAGCTAATGGGAAGCTGAGGCGGGAGAATCGCTTGAACCCACGAGGCTGAAGTTGTAGTGAGTGGAAATCATGCCATTGCACTCCAGCCAGAGCAACAAGAGTGAAACTCCATCTCAGAAAAAAAAAAAAAAAATTGGAAAGCCACTGTATATTCATCTCTGTTCAGTATATTCTGAATGTTCTTATGTTCAGAGAGCTTGTTTTCTTTTTATTGTTTATTTTTTACAGCAGCTGACACCTTTTGAAAGGAGTACGTTTTCTTTTTTTTTTTTTTTTTTTTTGAGACGGAGTCTCGGCTCTGTAGCCCGGGCTGGAGTGCAGTGGCCGGATCTCAGCTCACTGCAAGCTCCGCCTCCCGGGTTGATGCCATTCTCCTGCCTCAGCCTCCCAAGTAACTGGGACTACAGGCGCCCGCCATCTCGCCCGGCTAGTTTTTTGTATTTTTTAGTAGAGACGGGGTTTCACCGTGTTCGCCAGGATGGTCTCGATCTTCTGACCTCGTGATCCACCCGTCTCGGCCTCCCAAAGTGCTGGGATTACAGGCTTGAGCCACCGCGCCCGGCCTAAAAGGAGTACGTTTTCTAACCATCTGCATGATTTTTCATCCTCTGAACCTAGTTGATTACTTTTAACTTTGATAATGCTCTGATGGACCACAAACGTACACTTGTTTGTACTTTGAACAGTTATTTCATTTAGTGTGAAACTACTAGCTCATGTAATTTATGATTTCTTAATTTCCCAGGGCCCCATGAGTTATGAAACAGATAAACCTCTAACTGCATCAAATATACAAAGCTGTGAATTATGTAGTATATTGAGTATCTATTCATTAGGACTTTTTACCTAGCTAAGTTTCTCTTTGGTAACTCCGGAATTTCAGTTATCTTTAGTTGATCATTATAGCTTGACTATAAGAGATCCACTTAATCTCTGGCTCATGGGATTGCTGTAGAAGTTAATATTAGGCCCAAATAATTTCAAACTGAAAGGATCTGCCCTCCTTTTTCCAAGATGGAAACTATCTAGGATCTTCTGGGTACTCTTAGGTAAATCCCTTGTGACAAAATTTTATTGATCCATTTTTTTAATCTTTGTTGTATACACTAGGATGCATTTTAACAGCTTTATTAAGGTATACTATACCATAAAAGGTACCCTTTTAAGGTGTATAATTGAATGGTTTTTTTAAGTAAATTTACAGTTGTATAGCCATCACCACAACCCAGTTTTAGAACATTTCCATTGACCTAAAACAATCCCTTCTGCCCGTTGGTAGTCATTCTTCATTCCTACCCCTAGCCCTGGGCAAACACTAATCTCCCATCTGTATGTAAATCTACCTCTTCTGGAAATGTCACATACATAGAAGTGTACGTATGTGGTCTTTTGAATCTGGCTCCTTTCATTTCATATAATCTTTCTGAAGCCCATCCATGTTGTAGCATTTATTAATAGGCCATGGCTTTTTATTGCCAAATGAGATTCTGTTGTATGGATATATTACATTTGCATTCACAGCTGATGGACATTTGGGTTGTTTCCAGGTTTTGGTGATTGTAAATAATGCTGTGAACATAGAATGTGCTTTTGATGATGATTCTATGGAGTTGCCTTACCGTAGGGTACTCTGGGTGATACAAACTGATCATGACTGTCATGGTCGAGAGTCTGACCGTACTAGCGGATAACACAGGTTCATTATTGTTTTGTTCCCTGTCCATAGCATAACCCTTGTGGAGTCTTAGTCGGTTAACCAGTGCAGAAGCAGTTCAGCACCAATAACCTTTGATGATAAGTTTCTTCAGAGGAACTGAAGGCTAGTTGTTGATTTAAATACTTAATAACTGTTACATTTAGACAAAACCCTTCTTAGGGCCCAAAAGGTAATATATTTGTTAGTTTTTTAAGAAGTGAAAGCTGGCTGGGTGCGGTGGCTCAAGCCTGTAATCCCAGCACTTTGGGAGGCCGAGACGGGTGGATCACGAGGTCAGGAGATCGAGACCATCCTGGCTAACACGGTGAAACCCCGTATCTACTAAAAAATACAAAAAACTAGCCCGGCGAGGTGGCAGGCGCCTGTAGTCCCAGCTACTCGGGAGGCTGAGGCAGGAGAATGGCGTGAACCCGGGAGGCAGAGCTTGCAGTGAGCTGAGATCCGGCCACTGCACTCCAGCCTGGGCGACAGAGCGAGACTCCGTCACAAAAAAAAAAAAAAAAAAAAAGAAATGAAAGCTAATATGACTTTTTTATACTAGTAGTCTTCCTAAAAAAAAAAAAAGGAAGTCTTATTTCTCAGAAGATCCTTAAGGATAAAAAAAAAAAAAGAGCTTTGACAAATTGGAAGATAGGTATAGAGCAAAAAAAAAAAAAGCAGGATGACATGTTGGTGAGAAATCCCTAAGGTTTGCAACAAATCTAGGTCCTTTTGGACTTGTGAGCTAGCTGACCTGGTTGGGAAGTAGCATTCTACCGGAGCTGTCCAGGAGTACATTATGCACTGCTGGAAATGCTCCACGTCTGCGCACAGCGGAGCAGCCACAGATGGCTGTCGAGCTCTGCAAGTGTGACTAGTTTGACTGAAGAACAGAAAAAAAAAAAAATAACATTTTAATTAAATGTAAATAACCAAATGTAGCTAATGGCTACTGAATTGGACAGGACAGTTCCAGATAATTTTATTAACCCACTGCGAATCAATTTTTAGTTTCTATCACCTAGATCCTAGGAAAAAAAAAAAACTGTTGCTTAACTTTGGAAAATGTTACTATTTAGAAAAAAAAAAAAGGAATGTTGCTTTCTTAATTTGCTTTTGTGCTTTGTGTAGGTGGTGCAGGAATGGCTCAACTCTCCAAATAGAGAGAATTAAAAAAAAAAAAAAGTACGAAAATTTCCTGCCGATTATATAAAATAAAAAAAAAAAAAGGGTAAGTTTTTTCTTATGCAACTTGGAATATATGATATAATAATTTGGGATTTCTAATTAAGAGGAGGTAGCATTATTTAAAAAAAAAAAAACACAGATTTTCTAAGCTGAATTTGTGACTACTAAAAAAAAAAAAAAAGTCTTAATGAGGATAGTTGCTGGGACAATTATAAAAAAAAAAAACATTATTTTTTTCCCACTCTGTGGTTAGAATACTAAAAAAAAAAAAGTCAGTGGAGGCTGGTAAGGGGAGAGAGGGTGAGAAAAAAAAAAAAGTAGGGGTGTTGCAGTAATAGTCTTTACAGATTCTGAGTAAATCTTCCTGGCATCTCTTTTTTCATTTCATGATTGATCTAAAAAAAAAAAAACTTTTATATACTAGTTATAAATACACCAAACATAAAAAAAAAAAAAAAATAAAATGAATAAGTCCTCTTTTTACTCCCAAAAAAAAAAAAACCTACTCTGTAGATGTGCTTAAAAAAAAAATGAGGCTGGGCGCCGTGGCTCACACCTGTAATCCCAGCACTTTGGGAGGCAAAAAAAAAAAAATCACCATGTCAAGAGATTGAGACCATCCTGGCCAAAAAAAAAAAACCCCATCTCTACTAAAAATGCAAAAATTAGCCGCAAAAAAAAAAAAGCGCCTGTAGTCCCAGCTGCTTGGGAGGCTGAGGAAAAAAAAAAAATTGAACCAGGGAGGCAGAGTTTGCAGTGAGCCAAAAAAAAAAAAAACATTCCAGCCTGGCAACAGAGCGAGACTGTCTCAAAAAAAAAAAAAAACAACAACAAAAATTATATATTATATTGTATTAAAAAAAAAAAAATTATAGTAAAGCTAAAGAAACTAAAATCATAAGAAAAAAAAAAAAATCATTAAGTGAAATGGATCATCATAAAGGTTTACAAAAAAAAAAAAGTCACGCTCAGTAGACAGATGAAGAGGAGGAGGGATTTGTCTTACTCTCTCAGGAGTGGCAGAGATGGAAGAAAACTATGAAAAAAAAAAAATGCGCACTTCAAACCCATGTTGTTCAAGTGTCAGAAAAAAAAAAAAATGCAGTAGCCACAAAGCAGAAAGAAAGCAGGTGAAAAAAAAAAAAATATCATTTTCACACATGGTTTAGTAACAGTGAGAAAAAAAAAAAAGGGAATGATGAGAACTGTCCTAAAATCTAAGTTCAAAAAAAAAAAACAAGGGGCAGCCTCTCAAGCAGATCTTTCAAAGGAAAAAAAAAAAACTATGTTAACTCTTTTTTGCATAGCATGTTATGAATAATGCTGCTGTAATCACCCATGTATCTCTTAGTGTTCTTCTGAAAAAAAAAAAAAACAGTTTATATCCAGAAGTAGATTGTGGAATATTAAAAAAAAAAAAAGTTCAACTTCAGTAAATAATGCCAAGCCTGTTGTACAAAATTATATTCCACCAGCAATGTATGAGAAGTTGCATTGTTCCAAAAAAAAAAAAACACATTTGTATAGATTGCTTTGAGATTTTTAGCTGTTGGGCTGTGTGTATTGATGGTGTTTTATGGGCTTTTGTAATGTAAAAAAAAAAAAGATTGAGCATCTTTTCATATATTTAGTAGCTGTCAAAAAAAAAAAATTTGGAAAGTGCCTGTTCAAGGCTTTTGTTCATTAAAAAAAAAAAATTTTTCAGTTGATTTGTAGGAGTTCTTTATATAAAAAAAAAAAAAATCATTTCCTCACTTTGACTTGCATTCTGACTCTTAAAAAAAAAAAATTAAAAATTCCTTTTTCATTCTTATTGAGAATTGAAAAAAAAAAAATAGTAAATACATCAGTCTTTTATTGTTAGTGCTCTGTGTCCCGTTTCTTAAACAGAGTAAGAAATCTTTCTCTGCTGCAGGTTGCAAATTACATTCTCTTGCCTTCCTTTGCCCCCATCCCCATCAAAAAAAAAAAAAGATCTAGAACAAAGGTTAGCAAACCACAGCTTGCAAAAAAAAAAAACCCATGTATTGTTTTTGTTTTGCCCTAGGGTACGAAAAAAAAAAAACTTTTTTTTTTTTTTTTTCCTTAAATGTAGAGATAAAAAAAAAAAATGTTGCCCAGGCTGATCTCAGACTCCTGGTCTCAAAAAAAAAAAAAGCGTCATCAACCTGCTGAAGTGCTGGGATTACAGGTGTGAGTCACCTCGCCCAGCTGGTTTTTACTTTATTAAAGCTTTAAAAAAAAAAAAATGTAACAGGCATTATGTGTAGTTCCACAAGCCTAAAAAAAAAAAAACAGAGGAAATTTGGGAACCCCTTTTCTAGAAGCTAAAAAAAAAAAATTGTGACTGAGGTATGTGGGTTGGGTTCCTTTTTAAAAAAAAAAAACAAGTAGAGGTCTAATTATCCCAGTGCTATTTATTGAAAGACCATTTGTGCTTCACTGCACTGCTATGTTTGTTATGAGTCTAGAGTCCTCTTAATGTCTGGGCATCAGTCTGTTCTTCTTGAGATAAAAAAAAAAAACTTGTGCTTATATCACATTGTTTACTTTATCTAGCTTTATATAAGTTTTAAAAACTCATAGAGCAAGTCCTCCTACCTTGAAAAAAAAAAAATGTTTTTTGTTTGTTTTGTTTTTTGAGATGGAGTAAAAAAAAAAAATCCAGGCTGGGGTGCAGTGGCACGATCCTGGCTCAAAAAAAAAAAATGCTTCCCAGGTTCAAGCGATTCTCCTCCCTCAAAAAAAAAAAAAACTAGGACTACAGGTGTGCACCACTATGCCTGGCAAAAAAAAAAAAATTTAGTAGAGACAGGGTTTCACCATGTTGGCCAGAAAAAAAAAAAACTCCTGGCCTCAAGTGATCTGCCCATCTTGGCCTAAAAAAAAAAAAGTGTGAGCCACAGTACCTCACTCCCTTCTACCTTAAAAAAAAAAAAGAGTGCTTTGGCTATTCTTGGCCCTTTGTATTTCAAAAAAAAAAAAAGGAAAAGAAGTGGAAATTTGGGAAGAATTGACAAAAAAAAAAAAATTCTAATTCATGAATAAGGTATATGTCTTCAATTAAAAAAAAAAAATTTTTCTCAGTGTTTTATAGTTTTCTGTGGAGAGAAAAAAAAAAAAATCTATTGTTAGTCATTTGTAACTATGTTAGTATCTCTAAAAAATAAGAAAAGTAACAGTCGTACCTAAAAAGTTACCAGAAAAAAAAAAAAATCAGTCAGTGTTCAGATTTTCAGTTATCTCATAACACTTTTTTTCAGCTTAAGATCCAAATTAGTCCACCCAAAGACAAAAAAAAAAAAAAAGTGGCATTACTTGATAGGTCTTTTTGAACTAGAAAAAAAAAAAAATCTTCCCTTGCAATTTTTTGTTGAAAAAATTGAGAAAAAAAAAAAAAGTTAATCATGGTCTGGATTTTGCTGATATCGCAAAAAAAAAAAAAGGTGTTTAGAATGTCTGTGTCCTCTGTGTGTTTCAAAAAAAAAAAAAGTTGGAGCTAGAGAATTGATCCAATTCAGGTCAAAAAAAAAAAAATTTTGGCAAAACTGTTTTATAGTTGGTCATATGTAAAAAAAAAAAAAGCAGATACATGATACCTAGTTTATTTTTCTGATAAAAAAAAAAAATTGCACTTAGTTATTAATTCATTAAAGGGAGCAAAATGGTGACACTTTAATTATTTTATGTTAGCTGGAATACTTCTCTAAAAAAAAAAAAATCTACTTCTATTTGGTTACTCAGTAGTATAGTTTAAAAAAAAAAAACAGTATAAATACTTGACGCTTGATCACTTTTCAGAAAAAAAAAAAAAATTCACTAGTAGTCCGGGTGCAGTGGCTCACGCAAAAAAAAAAAAGCACTTTGGGAGGCCAAGGTGGGCAGATCACCTGAAAAAAAAAAAACAAGACCAGCCTGGCTTGTCAGCAAAACCCCGTCAAAAAAAAAAAAACAAAAATCAACCAAACATGGTGGCGCGTGCCTAAAAAAAAAAAAAATAGGGAGGCTGGGGCAGGAGAATTGCTTGAATCAAAAAAAAAAAAGTTGCAGTGAGCTGAGATCGTGCCACTGCACTCCAAAAAAAAAAAAACAGGAAGACTCCATCTCAAAAAAGAAAAAAAAAAAAAAAAAAAAAGTGCCAGTGGTGACTGGTAAGCTTAAAAAAAAAAAAAAAAAAAAAATGGATTGGTATGCTTGTGTTTCAGTCCGTTTCAGTCAGCTCCTTCTGTTGGCTCTGAGGCTATGTGCTGTGACAGGATGTAAAAAAAAAAAAATATATATTGTTTTTATCCCGTAACTGAACTTCCAAAAAAAAAAAAAGCCTTGCTGTATTTTAGTTGAAAGTGGTATTTCAAAAAAAAAAAAGGCATGCTATATGCTGTTAGTGGGTAATACATCTAAAAAAAAAAAAACATAAAGATTGTAAGTAAAAGATAATTATGCATAAAAAAAAAAAAACTTATTTAATTCTGTTAATATCAAACTAAATACAAAAAAAAAAAAAAAGCGTTATTGTTGTTGTTGTTGTTGTTGTTGTAAAAAAAAAAAAGAGACAGTCTTGCTCTGTCGCCCAGGCTGGAGTGAAAAAAAAAAAATTGGCTCACTGCAACCTCTGCCTCCCGAGTTCAAAAAAAAAAAAAACCTCAGCCTCCTGAGTAGCTGGGATTACAGGCAGAAAAAAAAAAAACCAGCTAATTTTTGTTTTTGGTAGAGACAGGGTTAAAAAAAAAAAACCAGGCTGGTCTCGAACTCCTGACCTCAGTAACCAAAAAAAAAAAACCTCCCAAAGTGCTGGGATTCCAGCCTCCCAAAGAAAAAAAAAAAAAGGCGTGAGCCACCACGCGCAGCTCAGAAAGCGTAAAAAAAAAAAAAAAGGGAATATTTTGGTTCAACAGAAGATATGACAAAAAAAAAAAAATATACCTAATGAAGTAAAGAGCTGGGCACAGTGAAAAAAAAAAAAGTAGTCTCTGCTATGCAGTAGGCTGAGGCAAGATCACTTGAGCCCAGGAGTTTGAGGCTGTTGTGTGTTATGATCACATT